ACACACTAATTCCACATAATAAAACTCAAATTAGCCATTGGGTATAGTTTGTTTATAATCATGTTTAAATTGTAGTATTATAAAATTATAAAATATAGCATTAAATGTCAACCAATTCCCAATTCAACTTCAAGGGGACGCGTTGTACCGCATGTAGTGACATACTAATATGTTGAAATGTTTTAATTTAGAGACGAATTTATAGACACGCCTTTCTTTTAAAGTGAGACAACTAACAGAACCTATATGTGTATCTTGAGGTCTTTTAACAAAAACATTCAAATGAATTCAATGATAATTAATTTAATTAATTAGTTTACGGAGAAACATAATCATTGACAAATCTTCATTTGTTTTATTGTAAATTTTCAGTACTTCACGGAGATTTGCTGTGGTTGATAGAACCAAGTCTGTTTTCTTTCTGGGCAATTTTAAAATACAATCCTCGATGAATATAAGTTATGAGACTAAATTCCAAGATAAAAGAAAACTGCAAGCATTCTAACCAGAAAAGTCGTGTATGTAAATTAAGGAGATTATTTGTGTTGCACGACTACAAATAGGTGGAATCCAAATTGGCTGACAGATTCAAAAAGCCTATTTTGATGAGTGCCTTTTCCCCTTCCTAATGCAGCTCAGTAAGGTGCCTAGATAACAGCTAAACTACAATTAGGTGGAGTTCATAATGTGTCAAATTGGTTACAAAATTCTAAAATCTTTCCGAAGGATGGCGTCTTCTCCCTAAACGACTGTCGTTTCTGTCTCGCTACCTGGGGTATAGCGTCCACTTCAACCGAGGGTGATATCGCATACAAAGCCCCTGATTTATCATGATTGTTTCGATGTTGCCTTTGTAAACTCATCTTCAATAAATTACCAAATATTTGCTAATGTGTTGTAATACCTGACCAGGTGACTGACCTCTACATTACGTACCATTATATATACAGATAAGTGGAAATGTATATTATATATACTATAGATAGTAACCGAGAGGCGATTAACTTAATTACGCTCGCGGAATTTATCTACTTTTTACTTATTATTATGTCATTGGTCACAACTACGCTTACCGTTATTCTTAACTTTCTCTTTAACGGTCTAATGCATGAAATGTACAATACTTGTCTTCCACCTGACCTTGACAGTTGACACGTGTCAATCAAATATCACACCAAAACAGTGGGTAATAAAATTATTGTAACACCTATGTAAGACTATCAAGTCCTATAACTGTTCTTGTTTGGTGTTTTGATTACATGATTAGGGGTACATTATTGTCATGTACCCGTGAGCTGTTATTAGCTGCAACCGATCAATATGGTGATCCTGTTACCGTCTATTTAAGAATATTAATCAACACGTAATGAAAAAAAAAATTGCAACGTCATGAACTCACTATGAAATTATTTATAATATTTGTAGATTATGTATAGGAGTCCGATTTTATCAAATGTTTGGGAAAGATAAACTTGAGGGAATAAACTTGCAGTAAAAGAATACTGGAGCTCTTAATACGAGAGCTTTCCATTAACGAAGGTTTCTTTCGTCTGTATATCTTTTCACAATATAACTGAGGACGAGATAGAAAATGTTTTTCGACTCTATAAGAAGATTATTCCACATATAGTAATTGCTGTCATAGGTTTATGTACTGAGACTCCGTGAAAAGCACTACTGAGTTGACTCGAAGTACGGACTGGCGAGACATAATGTAGCTGACATGTGATTTTTGGCAGGATTGTAGGCTGGATATTTTCCGGCACATAAAATCAACAACTACCCATGGAGGTCATAACAACTTTTCTTAATAGGAGCTAAACCTCTCACTCAATGATTTCCATAACATTCGAAATTAAAAAAACGAATTAGAAATCAATATTGGTCCATTTCAATTAGTTCTGGTGTTGTTATCTTGCCGTGAAAATATGAGATCTTAATATCATACATTAATGAACCTTCTATAATCAGTACATGTGTCGTATATTCTATGGTTTCGGCGCCATTTGTAATGAACAAAGAAATATATATCTTACAAGATAATGCGGAAGTAATTATTAATGGCTGATTCACAAACAACCAAAAAGGCGTGTAGAATATAGGCAGGCGTAAACGATTCCCTTTCAATCTGGACGATTGACGTATTTCACCGAACATAATTGATTAGAAATTAAAATACATTTTTTCAAAAATTGAATATAAATCACTTTATATACATTCATATTACATTAATATGTGCTTTTAGACCAATTTCGTCTAATTTAGGGTGCCAAAGAACAAGGATATAGTCACACGCCCATTAAAGTGGAACCTATTTGGGGACAAGGGGTAACGAAACATACGGCCACAGGAGCTAAATCGTCCGAGCGGGCGACAAGGGTTTTCGCATAATTTTATTCTTTTGTAGGTAATTGAGGGCAATTACAAGACAATTTCATACAGATGCATATAAATTTCACAAAGATCGGATGATAAATTTTGGTGATAGGTCCACAAGGTTCAACAAAGTGAAATAAGGGCCACAACTCTAGACGTAAAAAATGGAAATTGCTGAAATTCAATAGGATTCTTTTTTTTTTTTACTAATTTAAATGATGCATATAAATTTCATACAGATCGACAGATAACTTTTGATGTTAGTGCGTTCACATGGTCCAACAAAGTGAAACAACGGCCATAACTCTAGCAGTAATACACGAAAATTGCTGAAATTCAACAGGCTTCTTCATTTTACTGAATGGCGCATATAAATTTCATACAGATCGGCGGATAACTTTTGATGTTAGAGCGTTCACAAGGGGTAACAAACTCCAAAAGAATTTAACGGAAATTATTGAAATTAAATAGGTTTCTTCTGCTCAATAATGTAAACAACATAATATCAATGTTAAAACAATCTGATGATAACATTTTGCGTTAAACCGTTCACAAAAAAAAGAAATTGTGGACGATGAACGGACGGACTAACAAAATCAGCCACGTTCATGTCCATCTCTAGCAGTCACACAGTGGGGCAATGGATCATTATAATGTATTATAAGGTCCATGGTGGAGCGTACTCTTGTGACATATCGTTGCTTCTTCTTTAGGAATGTTGTTGTACTGACCCTAGCCTTTTAAAAGCCACATTTTATACACCCGTCTGTCCCATAAAATAACATTCCCGTTCTGCCAAGTCGGGTTTTCTTTTGCGTTTGCGAGAATTGTCAAATAAAAAATATATATCTTTTCATATATTATTATACAACAACGCCCGATCGGCTTTTATATCAAAACATCAAACATGAACAATAGGAGTGTAAAATATTCCACATTTAGAGCAGCTGAATATGGAAATAATCAAGCTGTTTGTCTCGCGGGTAACCGTGTCATGTCTCACTGGAAAAACAAATACACATATTGCTTAAACATTTAAGGTAAAGTCAAGGTGGCTGGACAAACAAATATTACTTATATTACGTCACCAACATAATAAAGAGGTCTCAAATTTCACTTGTTGACTTAGTAAACAACTATTACATGACATCATTATCATTACATTACCCTGAACAACTAAATCAACTAAGTTTTTCTAAATGGCTGGTCTTAACACAAGGCCCGTAGCCAGGATGCTTCCTGCGGAGGGACAGTGAACTTTTTAGTGTGTTTGGGAGGGGGTCTGGGGGTCCCCTCCCGGTAAATATCACCGTAACCTTTAAGTGTAACTTTGTGAAGTCATAAAAATGTTTAATAAACTTTATTAGCACTTGTAGTTGAGTGGTAGTTGGCAACTTTCTTTTTTCGAGGGCGGGAGGTATTTTACATGCATGCCAAAGCGTACACAGGCGAACGACTAGGTATTATTTAATAAGTGTTGTGACCGCGTATACGATTAAGTATTATGGACATTTATGATATGAAACGAAATTAAGCCAATTTTGCAAGTGAATATTGCTAGGGTATTTGATATTCATTATTTCATAGTAGGTGGTATTGTTCTTTAAGTTGGCTAAGAAAAATCTATTTATAATTATACCGTGACTGTATGTATAGCCATCAATACACCTGTATAAGGTGTGTCCCGTTATCAGTAATAATTCTATAACGTTTACCTATCCCTTGTCTAATCATTCGGTAAGATAATTTCCCATTTCAGATTATGACGACTCAGTAAAATACATAAGCCATGCAGTCCTTACCCTCAAATACATCATCATTAATGACAATAGACATTTAAAAAGTACAATGGTTTAATATAGGACGCGTTTCGGAGATTATCCCATAAACCCACGAATAACCAAAATATGTGTAGCTTGGAAAACAACAAAATCCCACGAAATCTAACCAATTAAAATGAAAACAAGCAAGACATTAATATGTTAAATATTTTATATTATCAGTATAGAACATTAAACAATTTCAGTATTTATACTGATCGACAGTACAACAATATTATCAAGGAATGCCATTTTCTTTGTAGGGTTTTTCTGGATCTCATTAATACATTAATACAATCTTTTCTTTGTCTTTGACAGAATTATACAATAGCACTTAGTCAAACAAACAGAGAATATCACTGTCCATTATCGAATAGCATTAATATAACAACAAAATTAACGTATATTCATTTCAATAATTGTACACGTAGATGTATATGAATACGACGTGTTCCATTTTAGTGTGTACACGACGGTTTCTTTGCAAACGAGATACATGTACATGAATTATCAAAGAAGCCAGATCAAATTTGTGTTCGAAATCGATCGGTTTACATGAATATCAAACAATATTTATTTGCGTTATCAAATGGATAAAGTAGGCTACCAATTTTCGTCTATGAGGTTCATATGCGAATATCAAGGTAAAAGGATTTTAAAATTTAACAATGAATATCATTTCACATCAACAAGATAAGTACATATACACGTACATGTATGAGACGGAGGTTATGTATACAAACTTGTATAACAAATGTCCAAGACTACGGTAATCATTGATGTATCAAGAAATATTGCTGTACGGTAAATAGTCCATTTGCTATCCTTAGTGTAAGTCAAACAGATGGTTTTGAAAAATAAAAGGTCAGGACGACATCTACCTCGTTTTCCAATCAAGCTCCTCGCATGTAAAATTCAAAAAGTATGGTGTAATGTTATTCAAATATAAACATATTGTTAGATACTGCCAACAGCAGTGGAAGACTATTCGGTCACAGCAGTCTATTAATAAAGCAGTCTAAAAAAACTCACAACCTTTAAAATGTATTAAATAAAGCACTGAGTATCAAAACGTCAGCAGAAATTGTGCACATTTTACTCTTATACTGTTAATTATACTATTCATTGTACAGAGAATACCAGATATGAAAATATTGTAAATTATCTTTTACACGTGTTTAATATCCATGTACATCAGCATGTGGCATGCATGTACCATAAAAAATCCAACATGCACATTAAAATATTATTATGAACATTTTTTTCTTTCATCACAAATGAACACAACCATGAATTATACACAGATGATATGAATGAATAAATAACTATACACAAATGAATACATAATATGATACATGATATACAAAAAATAATAGTATGATGTACAATATAGTATGCTACCTTAATTAAACAGTACTGAATTTGTTATTAACTGTAATACAAGTAGTTTAATACATAAATTATTTATGTTTTCAAGTACAAAGCCTCCATTACATTATAATGCAAATAGTGTGTGTGTGTGTGGGGGGGGGGGGGTGCTAATAATACAATGAATCAAACAGTAAACCTACATTTGATCACACTGTTTTAAACGACTATACACTTTATGAATATCTGAAGAATATGTACATGTATATATTAACACCCCAAGAAACTTAAAAATACTCTGATGAATGAAATGGGGTCCTACTTTTCTGCACCAACCAGGCTAATGAAGGTATAATCATTTTGACCATATGATAACAGATATAAGATAAATACATAAATTGGATTTACTACAGAAAACCTGATTGATGAATTAGATGAAATTTGTAGCTGATTGCACATTATGGTTTTGCTACCTCTTAGAATATAACATTTTGTACATGTACCAAGGCTATTGATCAACTTACTGTACATGTACCTGGAATATGCCACTATTGTTAACAATACTTGTACAATGTACATTAACAAAAATTGTTCCACTATTGTTAACTACCAATATTCACTCTTAAAGATGCATTTTGTAAGAATTAGATAGAGCTGACTGTTCTTGCTATAATACATGTAGTTAAACAAAATTAGATAATTTAAAATGAATATATTGAAAATTTCATTCAAATTACTTTATTTCGAGCGACGTTAGGAGTGTTTGAAGGCTTTAAAATATAGTCTTGATTGTCAAGTTGCATTGCTACATGTACAATAATAAAAAAAGTTCCATTGTTACAATACATGTAAATTATTAAAAGATGATTGTGTTTTAATCCATTCAAAATCACCTCGATCTGAAGTCCAGCGAGTTGATTATGGGCTTGGTACATGCATGTGAATAAATGCCTATTTAATAATATTATAAACCAATTGAAGACGAATAAATACCTGCAATACAACGTAAGCAGATTTAGCTCGTACATAATGCATCTTTAAAAGGTACCAATTATGATACCAAATGTATCAATGTATTTGTTTTAGTATTTTAATACATGTAGTATTGGCTACATGTCCATTTTTTTTAAGGTGCATGTAGCCCCCCACCCCCCAAAATAAGAGAAATTGTATCAGATGCATTACAGAGAGTACATGTGTAGGTAATGAATGACCTTTATTGTACATGTAATATGGGATATTCTGCAATAAAAGCTGTACAGAAATTGACCAATGATTATTGTAAATAAATAGATAGCTTGCCTTAAAAATTACTAGTAAATCTGTATTAAATAAGTGTACATCATGTACTGATCTGTAGGAAATATATGACCAATAAAAGATTTAGCAGATCTATGTAATACATGTAATAATAATACTAAAACATGAGGTAGAGATTGATATATTTATGCAGTTTATTATCTGGCGTAGGTGTAAGAAGTGATTAAATATTGATTTATATCAATATCCTAAAGCTAAACCAAAAAAAGTAAGTTAATTGGTTTTATTGATGATACATGTACCACACATCCACATTATCCACACTTTCATATACATGTACATTGTACAGGTACATCTTACTAGTAGACCTAAACACATGTCTATTTCTAGTAGACTTAGTAAGTTTCAGCAGATGCTCCTGTGTAATTATAGTGCAACATATCAATTTCACTTCGAAAATAAATACCCAAATGTAAAGCGAAGAAATTCCCTTATTCAAGGTACAATGTACATGTACAGTGTACACATGTACAGTATGCTACCGATAGATTCAATAACTTGTGTTTTAGAAAAGTGTTAATTTTTTAAATGTACTTGGCTGAAATAAATCAAACAGTGGATAAAGTTAAAATAAATATGGATTTGGTTTTGCTTCACTTACATGTAAACACACACCCACAATAACATACAGGTACATATGTACATGTAAATGTACATACAATTTAAATGTAAGTTATATGTGATGTATTTTGAGATAGTGATAATGTGAGAATTTTACTTGACCGTAATAAATTAACAGTGGATAAATTTAAAATAAATCTGGATTTGTTTTTTTCTTCACTCAAACCTACAAAAACATGTACGGTACATGAAGGTATGGTAGATATAATAATACCAATACAATTTAATATAATTTTGAAATACATATGTAATTAAGAAAGCAGTAAAGGTAAAGAATCATTCAAAATTATTCATCACTTGCCAGCTTGTAATTAATCAGAGAACCAGCAAGTAGTCTACATCTTTATGACCCAGAATTTAAAAGAATTAAAATGATACTTTTAATTAAAAGCCAAAAATCATTAACAATCTCACTTAACATTATTTTTATTTGTAAGTTCTTTGAAGTTCCAAGCTATTTTGTGCGGAGTTGCATGGTAATAAATGATATAATGTAATTGAATGATTCATAGAGTGATTAATATTATGGAATAAATTGAGTGATGAAATAAAACATGTAGGATCATGAAGAAACGAAACAACATGCAGACTGTCAATGACAAATCTTCTGAACACAGTTTGAAGTCACACACATGTAAAATACTTAAATGCAGCTGTGTAATATGTCTGTGATAATGAATATCGATTATAAAATCCTATAGAGATCACAGTTTATATCACCTTGAAATCTTCGCATGTTTACTTTTTTTCCACTTTTTTATCATTTCATACATTATGTCCATGGCTTCTGATAGTCCTTCACCTGTTACCGCACATGCTGGAAGAAAATGTAACGGATGTGACATGCTGATTTCCTGAATTGACAACATTTTTTCGATTTCCTCCGGATCCAAAGCCTCCTGTAAGTCCTGCTTATTGGCTATCACTAATGTCGGTAATTTAGATGTGTTATGTGATTTCACAAATTTATTGAGTTCAATTTTAGCCTCCTCCATTCTCTCTTTATCACTGCTATCAATAACAAATATTATTCCATCTGCAGATCTAAGATAGGATTTCCACAAGGGTCTCATATTGTCTTTACCACCAATATCCCATATTGTAAATGAAACACCCTTCACTTTCCCTACTTTACCTTCAATTTTTTCACAGTTGAAGCCAACAGTAGGAATGGCATTCATATACTGTCCAAATTTCAGTCGATACAAGATAGTAGTTTTACCTGTGGTGTCTAGCCCAACCATAACTATTTGTATTGATGCACTACTCCCCATGGCCTACATAGGTACAGTACGTATACCTGAGACAAAATCTTGCCTTAAAAAAACCCAAAGATATTCCTCAAATAAGTAAACAATAGGAGGTCTTAATGAAAGAATCGCTTTCCTCAGGTATGCTGATATAATCCTTTCGATAAATAATAACCAATTCACTATGTAAATTCCATAACATTTATTCCGTGAAAATTTTGTTGAACTTAATTTACCGGAGGAGGCTGTGGGAAGATTGTAAAGCCTACTAAAATCACTGGAGTGGCTTCACTAACTAAGGTGCAGTCTCTTACATGTACCTACATATTATCTTTCACTGGACAGACTGACCCACATAAATAAAAGTAAGCCTTCGCATCCGGACATACATACAACTTGTCTGTGTCAACTGATTTATAAAGTAATGACACCACCTGTATTCAAAACACAAGTTAATCCTTTCTCACTATCGTGCATGCTCTACTTGAGTAACTGCATGCCAGAAAAACGGTAAAATAAATCCATTCTTGTCTGTCTGTGTACATGTAAGTTTGAGTCGAACATGCCCACACGTTCAATACAACCAACAGTCGCGTTATACTCATTCACAGTAAGTCCGCTCCATACATGGCAGGTACTTGTCGCAGCGCCACCTTTTCTTCACACAGCTCAAGGGTAGATAACTCAATGGGAAACTGGATGGGTGGTAAAATAAATATAAAACCACATGGGGTCTTGTTTGACCACAGAAAATTGATGTAATTTTCAACACTTTAACAAGAAGAAGCACCGGTCATAATAAAGCATGAAATAAAATTTGTAGTCTTTGTAAATAAATAAATTAAGAGAAACAAACTTATTTCTGATATTGAAAAAAAAAGAGCCAGTTTGTTATCAGAATGGCAGTTATGAGACTTTTATAAATATTCAAACGTTTTATGGGTTTAATAGAATTTTTAAAAAGACCTATAAAATTTGATGTATGTATATCAAGTTGTCATATATGGGGACTTAAGCAAATACAAAAAAGACCAATAGGAATTTTAAATTTTTACATTATATTGTCATTTATGAGCTTAATAAAATTGAAAAAAGTGCAATAATATTTTTTTATTATTATTCATTTGCCATTGTTTTAAAAATTCATTAAAAGACAAAATAAATAATACAGAAAACATATGCTGAAATGAAACAAAATCTATATTCTTATATGCAGCATACCAATGAAAGCAGATCTAAATTAGTAACAAATACCCGTTGTTTAACTTCATACCTGACCGTCGATAAACGCAACAATGAAGCAGTTATTTAGGATTAAGGCATTATCTAAAATCGCCAGGTGGTAGTCTCGTAAATGAATGCCTATAGCACTTCGGACATTTCTTAACATATTGATCACACTTAATCTAAATTTACTGAAATATGGTGATAATTTAGGATAGGTAATTTAAACCACTCGTTATGAAAAGGAATTCCGAATCCCGATTAATCGCGATTAGTTGGCGTTAATTGCGAACTAAGTGATTATCGACGTGCTAGTTATCATACCTTCCAGCGTTTGTAACAGTTTAGACGTAAAAGCTGGTGCCTGTTATTGACAACATTCCATTCTCTGGATTAAACGGAAAAAATAACTCTGATAATAGCTTATCGGATTGATTTACCTGTCTTGAGTCAACTGGCGTGACAAGGAGTAGGGTCGCCTGTCCAACCTCGTGGGTTTTCTCCGATTTCCTCCAACTGCTAAAAACCATACGCGCAAGCGAATTATTGAAATAAAAAAATTAAAAACCATATGTTAGTCCCGAAATGACCTAGTTTGTGTCTAGTGGACGTTAAACCCCATCCCCCCTCTCTCTCTCTCTCTCTCTCTCTCTGATTTACCTGTCACTGCAGAGGATTGGTGATGTTCGGGACATATTCCTTGATAGTATGCCCCTAGGTTCCCACTATCGTGCGATGCGTTACGATAGGATTGTCCCCACTAAGTTCACGATCTGTTACGTGCAGATACGCTCGGATACATTTCGATAGGATCACCACGATTAAAACCACAATTCAAATCGTAGCGCGAATCGTGATAGTGGGAACCCAGCATAAAAAGTATAGGTCCAGTCTCCTAGTCGTTGTTTTTTTGTATTTCAGAGGAGAGCCAAAAAAAAAGCTCCCCTCAATCAACAAATTGAAAAAAAAAGAGCTCTCCCAGTTTCGATAAGAAGAATTATTTAGAAATTAAGGAGAGTGATTTATAAATTAAGGAGAGTGATTTGATATTAAGTAGAGTGATTAGTTGTGTGGATGGGAAATGGTTGTGAAGATCAATGACTGCATGCAATGGGGTCATTCCTGGTTTGATAAATGATAATAAACTCCCAATGACTTTGTAAAGGAGAGCGATTTTTAATTTTAAAGGGAGGGAAAAAAAACTCCCATCGGTCGACATTCAGGTGGTATCCAGATATGTGATAAAGGAGGGAATTTTTAACATTATCAGAACAGATGAAATAAACATATTCAAATTCAATAGGACGGCTTGCACAACCATTTTCACAGCCATAACTTTAAATTTTTAAAAACATAATTTCACTCTTTGATTGGAGACCCGGGGTCGTCGCCCCCATCTGCACGCGGCTCTGCACGCCCTACCCGGTATCGGGGTTTTATGTAATTTTCAGTTTATCGACGAAACTTTCCACTGTCGATGGATAATATTAGCAAATCACCTTTTTCCCTTCTTGGTCAGTTTTGTCCATCTATGGCAAGGTTTGGGGGCATTTGTGTGGAACTTTTCACCACAAGAGTTCCACAAGATACTGGGTTTCTGAAAAAAAATACATTCCCCAAGACTTTCGACTTAAAATAATATTCATAGAGTGTTTTGGGTCTGTGGTGTTTTTCACCACAAGAGTTCCACAAGATATTGGACTTAGAAAAAATATCAATTTTTTCAAAAATTTCTTCTCATACCTCCCTATGTGCCTGTGTGGTACCACATTCCACAAGATTTTCGACTTAGAATAATTTTGATAGAGTGTTTTGGGTCTATGGTGTTTTTCACCACAAGAGTTCCACAAGAAATTGGACTTAGAATAATTTTGATAGAGTGTTTTGGGTCTTTTGTATTTTTCACCACAAGTGTTCCACAAAAAATTGGACTGTGTGGTACCACATTTCACAAAATTTACGACTTAGAATAATTTTGATAGAGTGTTTTGGGTCTTTTGTATTTTTCACCACAAGTGTTCCACAAAAAATTGGACTGTGTGGTACCACATTTCACAAAATTTACGACTTAGAATAATTTTGATAGAGTGTTTTGGGTCTGTGGGTCTAGTTTTGTCCTAGATTTTATTTTCATAGACTGGACCTGAGCAGAAGAAATAAAATAGTTGGCGAAGTTCTTCTTAATTGTTTGACAGCTTTGCACGAGTGACATGTAAAGCCTCCCCGAGGCCTACTGTTACCACATGGCGTGTGCACTGAAAAGTGAAACCCATAATCAATAGTTTTATTTGCTGTCAGCTTGTAACATATATATGTTAGGACTCTACACATTCTATAATTAGGTCAAAGTGTTACGGAGTAGATGGAACAGGGGTTAGTGGGCACCGCTTTGAAAACAAAACTGATATATATACTAAACAAAAAAAAACCCCAAAAACATCAGAGAGTCCCTTTAATCAAATCATTCTAGAAAATGACTTACTATGTTGACACATTAATGATAAATTCATCACAATTCCACGACATTACGAGAAGGTTTAGAGTCTGTACACAGTCTATACATTAGTATCTGGTGTGTCCACTGCGAGTGCCAATAACAGCAGCACAGCGACTGTACATGGAACCACATCCTCAGAAAAGCCTGGCACAATCCATCGGCTGTGTTTGGTCTCGGTACGCCGTTATTAAGTCTCCTCTGAATTTCATACAAAAGTTGTTCAATCGGGTTTAAGTGCATAACGTTGACACCGTTCTGTTGTAGAACGCCCCGAGTAACTCTGGCGGTGTGGACACGGGCGTTGTCATGCTGGAAAACGTTGTTTCGATGACGTGCGAAATGTGGTATGACGTGGGGTCTGAGATCTTGATCGATGTAGCGCACTGCTGTGATGCCACCTCCACTCCCTGGATCAAGATTTTGGAACACCACAGGACCCACTCTCTGGTTCAGGCCGATTCCACCCCAAACCATTATGCTTGGACCCCCCCCCCCCCCGAGTCATGTTCCATGACACATTGGTCAGAACAACGCTGGCCATGTCGACGCCATATTCTGGTCCTGCCATCTGCAGTTGATACGCAACACCGACTCTCATCTGTGAACAGAACAGTTCTCCATTCCCTGTGTCGCCAGTTCTGGTGTTGTTGGGCAAACTATAGACGTTCACGTCGATGGCGAGGGGTGAGGATCGGTCCATGGTAAGGCCTACGGCAGTGGATGTTCCCTCTGCTGAGACGTCGGCGAACTGTATCGGTACTGATGGGTCTTCCGTGTGTTCCCACTGTCTGACGTGCTGTGTCAGATGCCTGTGTGAAGGGATTCTGCACGTGCTGTTGCACAACATGGCGGTCTTGTCGTCTTGTGGTAACCTTTGGTCTACCAGTTCGGGGGCGAACATCCGTGGTGTTGGTGGTCCGAAAGCGTTGCTGAAGCCTGTAGATGGTCCGAACATTGACCTGGAAGTGATTGGCAACGGCTTGGGCAGTGTGGCCAGCGTTGAGTCTTGCAAGCGCCTGGTTCCTCTGAGCTGTCGTGAGTCGTGGCATGCTGCGGACGTTGAAGTGTGAATGATTCAACCAGATATGGGGTGCATTTTATAGGGCTGGTCCCGGTGAACAGCACGTGCTGCATGAGTTACATGAAAATCATGGAGAACACATTACCATCTCAGAAGTCAGGTTGCGTTTTTGAGAACATTTCCTGGGTTCAATTCTGTGTTTGGGAAGGAACCTTATTGCTCAGGTAAAGATGGAGATGTGGTCACAAATATGCAATAAAAACATTTGGCAAGTTTTATGCAATGCGGCTATTCAGGGTAACATACCAACCTGACGTGTCTTTTGCTGCTTAGTATATATATATATTTTTTTTTTCAATCAAACTTTACCATGGCATACACGGAAAGATATAAAGGCCTAAATCCGAAGAGAAAACTCATATACGGAACAGTCGTATTCTCGTCTTGTCCGGTAGTCTTCACCGTGATGGGGGCCGAAAGAAACCGGCTAGTTTTTGGGCCCAGAGCTACCCACTCCGTCTATATATATATTTTAATTAAATGGGGTTTAGCGTTCTACTTTTCGGCACTAACCTGGGATAATAGAGTGGCACCTATGATAATAATCCCCTATTTATATAGCAATAATACTAAAACAAAAGTTTCTATGCCATGCAGTACTACTCAATAGTTATTTTACATGCGGGGCTGGATGGCCGAATGGTTAGCACGTGCGCGCTGTATCATAAGGCCTGTCAATGAGTCAACTGGCGTGGTTTCGAATCCACGCTTGTACGTGACAAGGAGTAGGGTTGCCTGTCCAACCTCGTGGGTTTTCTCCAGGTCTCTCGGTTTCCTCCCACTACTAAAGACCCCTACGCGCAAGCGAATTATTGAAATAAAATTAAACCATAT